ACCCCTCAACTTCTTATTCTTTTTAATTGGGTCCTCCCATCATTCCTCTACTTCAATTCTCTTTTGTTTTTTGTCCTTTACACTTGTACAAATAAAATATCAAATTCATATTCCCCCAAAGTGTCACCATAATATTTAAATATATACTTACTCTTCCTTAATTTAATGAAGGCACGTGGGCCCCACTAAAGCTTTCTTTCTTCAAAATTTTTCTTACTTCCACTCGCCCACTTAGACAAATTGTACAAATCACACTTTCTTCATGTAATATATCCAATTTGACATCGATATTGTTTTAATATTTATTTTATCCATAAATTATTATTTAATTTTAAAATTTTCCTCTAGCCTTCTAGAACTCTAAAATACCTTACTTTGCCCCAGTTTAGCTCTATAGCACCTTTTTAACTCCAAACTTCGACTTCAATAAGATATTATTTTGTTATTATTTTATCATATACAAAATATTTTATTCTCAAATAATCCTTTCACCCTTCGACACTCTTAAACGCTTTAATTAACCTCAATTGGTATCCAAGAAGCTCTATTAGCCACCATATCAAAGTATGGGGTGTTACAACACACACAGCATAGGCCACCCATGAGGCTCACATCACAATGCAATCACACATAATCCACATACATACATATACTCATATATCGTCCTATAGCCTAGGTTCATTCGTTTAGGCATACATATTTCATTCTAATACCATGGCATCGCTTCTATCATGTGTCATGCTTTACATGCATTTTATTAAAACCCACTTTTAGTGACAATAGGAGGCATTCCTTACCAAGCTTCTATCCTTAGCCTCTAATCATTGTCTAGCTTACCAATGAGTTGATTTAACTCCATTTCGCCCCTTTCAAACACATCAAAACATCAAAATATTAATTATTCCTAGCTTTCATAAAATGATAGATTTTCACACAATTAACTAAATATTAGCATCCTACTATTAGAGCTCAAATCCTATATTAATAAGCTAAACCCATACCTTGGAAGTCAGATTGCATGAGTCTTAGCTCCAAATTCCTCAATCTAAGCCAACAAGGGAAAAATACTAAATCTGGAGAAAAGTCAGATTCAAAGTAATTAATTGATTAAATTAGAAAATAATTAGTAAAAACGTTAAATCTTACCTCCAGAATGGTTTTCCAAGCTCCAAATAGCTTAAAACGGCTAAAAAATTCAATTTGAAGGGTTAAGGTTTCAAAGTTTTTAGAGAGAGAGAGAGACAGAAAGACCTGAGAGAAAGAGTTTGGGCAAAATGGCCTAAAAATCCCTTTTTATCTTTGACTTTCCTCTCTAATGTATGGATACATTTTGGCAAATGTATAGATACATTTGCCCTAATTTTGAATGAATGCATCAATACATTAGGGAAATGTATCAATATTTTTCCCCCTAGGTGTTCTTTACTTCAAATGTATCTATACATTTGGATAATGTATCGATTCATGTTCATCTTTGACCAAATCTATCTATACATTCTCAAATGTATCGATAGAATATTCTTCCCCGAGCCTTTGTTGTTCATCCTGCCATGAATGTATCATTACATTAGGGTATGTATTAATACTTTTACCATTGTAGGCAGTTCTAAGCTTCCCAAAAACTCCAAAAAATCCAATTTTAACATTCCAATATTATTCTTGATTGATATTACACCTTAAATCATTCATTTAAATTAATCCCATGCACATAAGTCCACAAGCATAACATCAAACTTAGATTAAAACCTCAAATTATGAGATTTATAACATAGTTTCTCAAATTTGCCTAAGTGTCAATATGTACACTCATAAACACTAGGCATACATATTCTATCATCAAATTCCTCAAGACTTCACATATTTCATAAATTATTCTTAGTTTACATCAAAAATTAAGGGTGTTACATTCTCCCTTCCTTAAAAGAAATTTGTCCCTGAATTTCAAATCATGTACTTCAAATTAAATTACATATATCAAACGTCAAAAAGGTTGGGATAATTCTCTTGCATTTCCTCCTTGAGTTCCCATGTGGCTCCTCAACCGAATGGCTTCACCACAATACTTTCACCGTAGCAATGTTCTTTGAGCGAAGTCGTTTCACTTGCTAATCCAAAATGGTTATATAGCCTGTTCTTCGTAACTAAGTTGATCTCGTAACTGGACTACATCATGTCATATCACATGCGAAAGATCTAGGACATACTTCCTAAGCATGGATACATGGAAAAGCATATGGACATTGGACAAGCCAGGCAGTAATGCCAAATGATAAGCAACTACGCCTATATGCCTTAATACCTCAAAAGTTTCGATGTATCTAAGGCTTAACTTCCCTTTCTTTCTGAATCTTTTCACTCCTTTGGTTGGTGAAATCTTTAAAACACATGGTCACCAACTTCAATTCTAAAGGCATTTATCTATTATTGATGTAAGATTTTTGGCAACTTTGAGCTATTAACATCTTTCCTCATATCACCTGGATGTATAGCTTTGCTTCTTGGACCATCTCTGGTCCTAAAAGTTTTCATTCCCCAACTTCAAATCAACCAAGAGGTGGCCTACATCTATTCCATACCAAGCCTCATACAAAGCCAAAACAATCGCGGCTTGATAACTATTATTATAAGTAAACTCAACCAAAGGCAAATAACAGTTCCAAGAGACTTTAAAGTCAAGCACAATCACTCTCAACATATCCTCAAGCATCTGAATGGTATACTCGGATTGGCCATCCATTCATGGGTGGAAAGCCATTCTAAAATCCAATCTCGTACCTTTGCCCTATTGTAATTTCCTCTAAAATGGGCTCGAAAACTGCAGTCCTCTGTTAGACACTATAGTTATCGAAACACCATGTAGCTTCGCAATCTTGTTAATGTAAATTTAGGCATATCGAGCTACTCCATATTTAGTATTGACTGACAAAAAGTGTGCCAACTTAGTTAGCCGATCAACTATTACTCAAATGGCATCATAGCTACCTCTAGCTCATGGTAAATTCGTCACAAAGTCCATTACTACATGCTCCTATTTCCACTTGAGCATCGATAATAGTTGTTATAGTCTTGATGGCCTTTAATGTTCAGCTTTCACTTGTTGGCAAGTCCAACACTTAGAGACATAGTCAACCATGTCTCTCCTTAATCTTGGCCACCAATACAAAGACTTCAAGGCTTGATACATCTTGGTAGCTTTAGGGTGTATCGCATAGGCTACTAGATGTGCCTTTTTCAAAATCTCATTCCTCAAATTATTCATATTTGGCATGTAGACTTGTGATCTATATCTAATCAAACCATCTGTGCTGTACACAAAGTCTCAAGTTCTATCATCACTTATGTCCTCAAACATTTTTACCAAATATTCATCTTAATCTTGGGTAACTTTAATTTGATCAAATATCATTGGTCAAACTTTAAAGTGAACCAATAAGGCATTCAAGTGATTAATCTCCAAATG